CCCTTGTCTCATGTACACACGGAAAATTGCTGCAAACCGAGGAAGAAAAACAGTTAAAATTAATAGTTAAACACAGCCTAGTGTATAAAACATATGACCGGTACTTGCTAGGTATATACTATTTATAGATTGACAGCTATTAGAAAACTTGCCATTGATTTGGTAGGAGTCTATTCATAATTTGCGGTTTGTTTCCAATTACATTGTAGTTTCCGATCAAAGACAGTCGCCATAATAATTAACATTACTGCCATTATTTTTAATAACCCCCCGACCCGTGTCCCCGTGATCGCGGCGAACAGGTGTCCCCGGGGGCCCGGTTGGAGAGGGTCTTCCCGCTGATCCTTATCTGGGACTCGTTGGTATAAATAACCCGCAGTGTCTTTGCTGCCAGGGAGACTTACAGTTATCCTACGAAGGAACTTTGTCCGGGTCGTGGCAGAGGAGCGAAATGACAGATCGTTGAAATAACGCTCCATGCGCTGTGTGCGTGTATCGTAATGGACTCTGTGTGCATATGACAGTTCGGTCGTTTGGTTGACGCGTTTAGTGAACGCATTAAGCTGCATTTGGCTTGTTTCTGTTTTATTATACCGAGAGGACCTCCTCAAGGGGGGCAGTGATATTATTAACGGGGTCTGGGATGAGCCGCGACTGCGCTCTCAGTACAACACGGAGGATCCAGCCGGATTATGGAAGTTGAGAAGAGAGCTTTTGGGGTCATTCTTGTTCCTTTAACCGTGAATGTAATGACGATATATATGTTTGTTCTATGAGGACGCTTTGAAAAATAGATTTATTTTAAATATTGAAAATGTTGGAGGGAACAGGTCTAATTCTATGTGCTGTTTTGCCTTAAATTAACATATTTATTTTCGGTTAAAGATTTATTATCTTTGTTCTGCTTGCGTAAGGGCTAAGGGTGAGGCAATTACTTTATTTTAGAGCCTGGTTATTAAATACTTTGGGCGTTGAACGAGGCAGCAATTTAAACTGCCTTATCTATTTTTATTTATGAGTTATTCTGATGCAAATTGCATTTGACCGAGATAGCACAGAGAAGGAAAAGACTCAGATAGCTCATCTGAAACGGTCGAAATCGCCGTTAATATAGGCAATAAATATTTCCAAGTGTATTAGGATTTGAACGTGGAAACGGCTGTGTGCTTAAGCGCCCTTATTGCTCTCTACAGTAAGTATCCCTTTCGCATTTGCTTCAGAAAACGGCCTATATTTTTAATCCAAAACCGTGGCGTCTGTCTTATTTGTGATAAATTCACACCCCCTCCCAAATGGCGCAGCGTTCAGTGCCACCCCTACACACACACTCATCATTTGCGAGTCATTACATTTCACAGTAAATGAGGCGCGTCGATGCCGCGGCAGCTCGCGCACTACTATTACCGGCCGCGGCGGGCACGTGCTCCTTGGGGGCAGCCCAGAGCTCCTCTGCGCGAGGGAAGTTTGAAGCTCTTCGGTTTAGAAGCCGCTTGGATTGCCCCGCAACCCCTCCTCCCACCCCGTGTGGGACTACCCACCCCCCCCGTCCGGATTTTGTTGCGCAGACCGTGGCCAAACTCTCACAAGAACAGCAATCATGACTGGCGGGAAATAGTCACAGATTCGGTATCTTACACTGAGGTATACTTAAACGGTGAAAATAGAAGCCAGGAGAAGCCCCTGAGTGTTGACCTAGGTTATTAAAGAATACTCCTGAATCCTAACAGGACACAATGCAGGGAAGCAGCTTCCTCCCTCTGATATGAACATCTCAGCCAAAGTGGTATCAGAATGCCAGATAAATAAACCCCAATGTTATTTCTGAAAGCAAGGTCAGACAGTCCCTGGAGAAATTAGAGCGGAAGCACCTTGCTCAGGGCCTCAATGGCGACATCATTCTGCTCAGCCTGGGATTTGAACCAGCAACGTTCTGATCACAGCCACAGCATCCTAACCCACTGAACCACACACCACCCCCCCAAAGTTCTGTCTCGAAAGTGGATATGTTGCACCTATCTCCCCCTGTACTTCTCTCAATCAAATATTAACAGGATAGGTATCGGGTTCACGTCCTTCACCTTGTGTGCTCCAATCGTCTGGCATCAGACCTCTCCTTGCGTCCTCCTCACGTATCGGTGCCGGTATAAGGTACTGACAGACCCGCTTCAGAGGAGCATCAGCCAAACTCGCAGCACGCTAGGAATAGCTAGAGGAATGCAGCATGACCGACAGGTTGATGAGTGCTGCAGCCTGCCACTAGGTGGCGTGATGGTTAAAAGGGTTGAGCAGGAAGCCAGAAAAGAAATGTACTGAAATTTTCCCCCAGCTTGATGCGGCAGGGGCGGCGGTGCAGGGTATAAGGTGGCCGGGGTGACGTGTCACACACCTGCACATGGTGAAAGTGAGTTTCAAGTGGCAGATCAAGTGGCACGAGGGACACCTGTCAGGTGGTGCCGTGTGTCACATCGCCTACCACAGCGGCATCTAGTTACCTGGAAAACTGCCCCACCTCACCAGGGAGGGGGTTCTCTTGTACTCTGTCCGCATGACACCCACAGCGGAGTCAAATATCTACCGTGGCTATAAGCCCCCCCTGTCACCATGTCACTGTGCCTTCTGGCCGGGCCGATTTAGGCAACTGCACATAAGCAACAGTAACCCCGGCCAATGGGAGCCGCCTGGTCACTGAGCGGTGGCCAATAGGAAGCAGGAGTGCCTGGAATTGTCAATGCTTGTTGTGAATGAGTCTGAATGAGAGCCAGGTGCGGGTAAATTTGTCTATCTGTCAGTGCTGGTGTTTGGCATATAACTGTACGGGGGGGTTCTGTGCAGAATCCTTACAGTACCTAACAATCTCTGACTATTGACCACATCTGGATACTAGAGTGAGCATGTAAACCTTTATTCTGCATCGACCGCTTGCTGACAGGGTGACCTGTACAGGCTGTCCAGGGTAAACAGTTACTGTAAAATGCCCGGCGCTCGAAGAGATAACGGCCAAGGTCTGAGGCAGAGGTCAGCCAGGAAGCGGGATCAAAGCTGCAGGGGCCACACACACCCAAAGGTCTAAATATGTGTCCCACATACAATCATCATTGCCGATCATTGACACGTTGTTGCCATTCGTTCCCACTGCAGGATTGTTATTCACAGCATCACATCGCAGGCTGACGGCGCTGTTTAGCGGAACTAATCAATTGAATGCAAACACCAGGATCATTAGGAATCATTGTCGCACGCTTCCTGGAGACCTGGAGTCCCTCGAACCATGAGCTGCTCTGGAAAACATGGAGGGCAGAGACCCAGGACCTTTCAGGTATAAGCATCTGTCGGGAGATACAAGCCTTGTATGTACTTTACGTGTGTATCTGCAGGTCTGGATCACTTACCCGGCTCCCCCTCAGTTCAGAGTCCATGCTAGCAGTGAGAGAGATAAACAGGGAACATGGGACAGCCCACTTTCCCACCAAAAACACTCAGATCAGACATTTATTACCGCGATAATGCACCGGGTATCAGTGGTGATGATCAGGACCTCGGAATACGCTGTAGCAAATGCTGCCTGTCTCCACAGGAATGCAAAATACAGCCGTAATTAAATACTGGCATACAGGGGAAAACCTGACACAGCTGCATGCAAATCACCTCTGAGATCATACATTATTGCATTGGGTATTTCGTGGTCATACGGTGATGTGCGGCTCAGTGATTTGGGCCTGTGTGCCTGTGATCGCCAGTTTGAGCCTCGGCAAAATAGTTACAGCTTCATTGGACCCTTGAATAAAGCCCTTAACCCCTCCCAAAATTCTCCTGGGACACTGGAGAAGCGACCTGACCTTGTGCGTAGACCCCAAGCTTCCCTCTCGACGGTCTATGCGTGTGTTTGTCTCAAAGGAGAGCAAGGTGTGAAAAGAGACGTACAAGTGCTCTTGTGTAAATAGCAAATAAAGAATCATTTTGTATTAAAACTTTTGTTTTTATCTGTTGTTTTCTACCGCCCCATCCAAATGTCCAACTAACATGCTAACACTTTAACATGGTTACTAAGACATAGACAGCAACAAGGCCTTAAACCAGTTCAAAATATTTCACCACAACCGTGGCGATCTTTATTTTTTCCCGAACCTGCTGTACAGCGTCGGCGCCCTGATATCCCGGCGCCTTTTGACCAGGAGGACAGGAACGGTGGAGAACCAGAACACGTGAGGCTCACGTGTGACGTCGGACAGCTATGCACAAAAACACCGCGGTCGTGTTGGTGTCTCAAGTCCGAGCCAAAGACAGACCTACCAGCTGAACTACAGAGGAGCCTAAAAATGACAAGATAGTGTGGTATAAAGGGAGGAAGAGATTCAGCTGTTCATGGGGGACTTGGGAGTTTGAGAGGAGGTCACTCTCGGTCACACTGCCGCCATATATGGCCGACCGGAGCTAATCTCTGGACTCTGGAACCAAGCAATAAAAAAGGAGACGGGAACAAGAGGATCGGGAGCCAGAAACAGCAAGAAACGGAGGAGAGGAGGACATGAGGAGAGACGGAGAAGGGAGACGCAGCTGGGAATAACTCAGGAACATTCCGGAAGGTTCTGAGACTGGTTTGGATTTCTGAGCAGGAAGTGACCTCGAGAAGAAGAGAGGGCTGAGAGAGAGACAGAGAGGTGGAAGATGGACGGATAGCGCTGGTGAACGAGTGGAGTGCCGTGACGAGGGGCCAGCATGGGCGTGAACGGCCGGGCCGGTGTGGCCGTCCTGCTTGTGATCGTCTTCCTGGGCTCCATGTGGCTCCGTGAGTGTGCACCCACATCGGTGCCGGGACCCCTTCCTGAATCGTGTTCCTTGTGGTCTGTCAGGTACAGTCCTGCAGCCGTGTCTTAGCGGCTGTCTCACGCCATTCCACAGGATTCTGGCGGTGACTACGGTTAGTCTGGAACACACAAATTTGTGTCCGCCTCACGAGGAATGGGGTCCCTTGTACACCAAGTTAAAAAGTGCAACGTTTCCACCACAACTGCAAAGCTGGGTGTTTAATGTTCGGAGGACTTTTCCTCACTGGAAAGGAGGGACCCTTCTGGGTAACAAACCCACATCCCTTTGCTTTGGGCTTCTTGGGTTCCTTAACCGCCATGCCCCCTAACGTCTGTGCCTTTCTTGTTCCTTGTCTCGTCCCTCACTCACAACAACCCTCGCAGCCCTTACTGAATGCCCTTTCCAAGTGTCGTGGGGTGGGGGGGTTGACACCACACATGGGCGCTTTTTCGGTCTCACTCAGTTGTTCGCTCTTCGTGTGTTTGATCTTTGCACTGGTTACCACTGGTTTATGAAGCTCTTACGCTCTGGCATCAGATAAACCAGCTACTCTGACAGTAAAGCTAATTGTCAATTTTGAATAAAAACACGTTAAATCTCTCCTTCTGCCTTTCCCATTTTCCGTCACCCACCGCAGAGGGGAACTTGCAGGATTTCTGGCGCCCTTGCCCAAAGGAACACACCCAAATACAAACGGTAAGGGTGACCCATAAACCTCCACAGCACCTCTCATCCACGCTGATGGCTAATGGCTAACAGCCAACAGGGACTCTACAGCCTAGAACATTCTAGAATATAAACAGAATCTAGAGCAGGTCATCAGAAAGCATGTAGCCATCTGAAATGGACGCTGAACACCTGCGAATCAAATAAAGACAGATAGATAATTATAAGTAAAGTATTTCTACAACTGGCCTAACAAGGTAAGAGAAGGGGACGGAAGTGGGGCAGATTTAGAAAAGAAGCAGGTAATGGAGACACACAGGAAGTGAGGAAATGACAAGGAAGTGAGGTCACTGTTGATTTAATGACTAACCCTGGCAGGTAACTGACAGGTGCCTAGCAAGATAATGACATCACTCTCTCCCTCACACCAGCCTGGGGGTCTGAACACGTCCGATGACGGCAGTGGTGAGGAGGCCATTGACGACTTGTTTCTGCGTGAGTGTCCTGGTCAGGATTTCCAAGTGTCCCAGCTAGTGTCCCACCTCCGCGCCGCTTTGGACCCCGGCACCGACGTCCTCATGCAGCCATACCTCTCCAGTTGGGATGAACTCATCAAGTAAGGACCCCGGGCGCCTTAAAAACGAGGAGCGTCTACCTTAGGGTATATACCCACACTAGGCCATCTGTACCGTGCCCAAGCATGTTTGACCCCCAAAGTCTGATTCCTTTGACCATGCCCGTTTGAAGAGGGGGGCCCAGGTAGAGGTCGGAGTCGGGTGTGTGATCGCTAACCCATAATATCAGAGATGTGACTGACACAGCCATTCGCACATGCACACTATACACGAACCGGAGCCGGAAGGAATGGATTGGTTAAACTGTACAGATTGGGTGGCGAGTCTAGCGACAAACATCTAACAAACGCTGTGGCAAAGGAATCACTTTGGTCTATGGCAGAGGTGCAGTGTTTGCTGGATATTTGGGCTGACAAGAATATCCAGGAACAACTGGAGGCAACACGAAAATTCAGAAATAGTCCCGTGTCTTACCTATTATCTTCTTATACGTGCGGCATTATTAAATGAAAATCGTTGTGTTGCATACTCAATAAATCTATGAGGGCTGTCTATCATCGTGCCCAAAACCACTCCAAATAAGCCATATTAATCATGAGTTACATTCTGCTTTGTAGTAGCGCCTTCCTTTGTTTTCCTCAATGCAATGTCGCACGGTGATGATGAAAGTGCCCCTTCTTGTCCCGAATCCCTTTATCAGCTCTCACTGATTCGGGATCAGTTCACCTTGACATTTTTCACACCCAGCCAATGTGCTTTCTGCCTGCTGGATTTGCCGTGTTCTTTTAAGCCTGCTTCTATTACTCTATGACACCTCCGATGCCCCCCCTCCAGGTTCCTGAACGCCCTGGGCCCAATGGTGGGGCTGATATCCCAGGAGATTAAGGACAAAACTGGCCTCATCCGTGAGCTGGCTCAGCAGGACATGGAGAGCCGGGGGGGCTGCGACCAGGGGGCCAGGTGTTTAGGTAGTGGGGCTCCTACAAGGGGGCTTCAGACGGACGAGGGGTCGTACCACTCGGTGCGCTCCATGATAACCGCGGAGCTGCAGAGCGGCCTGGTGGACTTCCACCAGCTGACATCCTCAGGCTGCAGGACTCTCCTCCGGCTCCACCGTGCCCTGCTCTGGCTCCGCCTCTTTCTGCAGAAGCTGGGTGAGAGCCCACCCCCTGGGGGCCGCGCGCGGAGTCCCTCGGACCTGTGCCGCGAGGCCTACCAGGAGAGTCTGTCTCGGCATCACACCTGGCTGGTGCGCCGCGCTGTCGAGCTGGCCTTCATCGCCATACCAGATAGGACCTACTTCTTCAGGCTGGTGTGTGTGCAGAACCAGCAGGGGGCGACACTGGTGCTGAACAAAGTGGTCAGGGCCATCACAGAGGTGTATGCCAGGACAGAAGTGGCCCTCGAGGAACACGGCATGCTGGATCTGCCCTAGAGGTGTGAAGAGAGAGCTCCCCCAACTGGGAACAGGGTTAGTGGTCCACACAGACGAAGACTCCTTACCAAAAACTAACTGCCTCACAAAACAGGAGTCCAGATGTTACACTTTTGAAAATAATCATGTGATTTCCCTCAGTAAATATGTTTTAACCTTTCTAGCTGACGAAATGTAGGACTGTGCACCGATATAATTAAAGAGAATAACGTCATGGCACGACTCCTAGTGGCGGGATAAATTGGCATTGTGAAACTCTTAAGGGCTTGATATTAATGGTCTGTACTTTTGTCTCCTGGGGGTGTCCCTCCACTGTGTCCTCACATCGCTAGAACACAACCCCCCCCCCCCCCCCGCAACCAACCCGGACACTGTGTCGACCTTGGGTCATTCGCTTGTGATTTTGTGTTCATGCACTAATTTTGCACTATGTATCTGAATCAGTAGGTGGACACTGAATAAAATACTATTGTGTAGAAGTATAAGAGTGATTTTACACTGCATAAACCTGCCAGGTGTGTCATTCATGCACCAGGAGCATGTCTGTGCTTCATGAGTGAATATGCTAAGGTGTCGGTATGTGTTTGGTCTATTTTACATCTACTGGATACTTATATGCCTCTTGATCTGACTATTTCAAACACTCAAGTGCCTCTAATGCTGCGCAATCCCTCTCTCTCGCTTCCTCTCTTTCTCCAGTTACTTCCTCTGGCTCCCTCCCTCCATGTCCTTTACACACTTACTTTCCATTTCCCCTCCCCAGGAGGGACCCCCCCATCGCGAAGGTCAGAAATGAGCAACCCAGTCTCCATAACCGTCATCTGCGGACCGAAATGTCCGTCAGCGTGAAGGGTGCTAAGGTGATGAATGTTCCGGAAGAGCTGACTCAAGGCTGCTGGGCTCGTGGCAGGGTGGGGGAGGAGAGGGGAGGAGTGTCAGGATTCCTGATTGCGGCTCCAGAAGAGGTGCCAATCAAACAGGTCCCAAGATGTCTCAGGTTATGTTTAGGCACTTACATTGAACTACTAATCGACTATGCAGAGAGACAAATATTTCTTGAATCATGTGTAAGAAGATGTAACCTGCCGTGTGAATACCTAACCTTTAACGGGTTTAATGTGAGGTATAATTCATTATCTTCTGGTGTAGCTTTATGCCTACAATCTAGGTGAAATTACTTGTGGAATGTCTGGTCTTGTTTTTGTTGATTCACTGGTGGAGACAGAGACAGAAACTAGTTCCTTCTAAGGCAGTTTTTTTCCAGTGGGATTTGTGTTTTGTAAGAACGTTGTACGGTTACTTGATCACATTCCTGCATCCTACCATCCATCTATCTCCTGACTCCTGTCATTCCATCCTCCCTCTCATTCATTATTCTCTTCAGCCCCTCAGAGTAATTAAGCTCTGACACCCCCCACCCCCCTCGGAACACCCTCCCGCTCCTGATCGGTACCACACACGTCCCATAGCAACTTCACACACGAGAATAAGGGGTGTAGTCAAGTCAAAGTCTTTAATAAAATTTTGCTGAAAATTGCTTTCGGCATTGCTCATCTATCAGGCATAAATGTTTTTTTTTTTAAAGCGAGGTGATTTGCAACTGAATTTCTTCATCGAGCGCCATCTATCTCGGTCGCAACCGAGCAGCAGCCATAAAACCAGGCTCACCAGACTAATCTCAATACCGAATTAATATCATGTCCTTTTAAAAATATATGTCGTTTAAAAAATATTTTATTGGTTTGTCTAGCATCACCTTTACAGTAGACACAAGCAATGAAAATTAATATACATATGATAATACAAAAACAAACATATAGCAACATGGAAATAATTAAAACCTGCTTCGGTTAAGAAGTTTCTCAAAATATTTATTTAGGTTAAATGTTTAAAGATCGATGACTCTTTGTGCAAAGCATTTCTGTCTAGTTAGAAATTGTGCATTGCAAAAGTTGGGTCATTGGGTATATTTCCTGCAATTTGGTAGAAATTATTATGATTTGACGCGCAACGTAAAAAAACATTAAATTCGTGACACAGCTATCTTGAAGAGGCTAGTATTAATCAAGCCAAAATCATCCGTAACTTTCATTTAAATAACACAAACAAATGCAAAACCCATAACGAAACATTTTATAACAAGTTGGGAATGGCTAACAAAACTCAACAAGCAGCGTCCAAAATCATGATAAATAGCAATAAAGAAATAAACAAAAACAAAACACTAGTGAATATTTGGTCAAACGTACGTATCTGATATCTGCGTACCTTTCAAGTATTGAGAGTAGTTATTACATTATCAGCACTGATCAACACCTACATAGCCGTCAACTAAAGTACTTGCCAAGTATAATATGCTCTTTAAAATTAAACAAGAATAAAAAATTACTGTAAATGTTTTTGCGTGTTGGCAAAAAGTGTATATATCATATGTCTGTATCTCTAATTTAATTTTCATATTATATTGCAACCACCAATATATGTACAGCCTTAGGAGAAATATTATTATGTATATTGCTTTAGATCACATCCGAATTAAATTGCGTGCAAAGTACTTCGCTTCTCGAGAATATGAAAGTTAACGTGGGCAAAAAAATACGTGCATTTAGCTCAAAGGGCGCTGAACGGAAACGGGCAGGGAGACGAGTAGAGGATTACCGTAAACCCAAACCTCAGCCATAACCTTAAACCCTCAACACCCTTGGTTAGTCTGTAATTATGTTCCCGGTTAGTGTTTGTATTTATACAAACCAATTCACTACGTAACAGAGTCGGAAGAATAAACGAGAAATAAGAAAGACATTAAGTTCACACAATTAAGAAATCTGGAGTTTGTAAATGAAATCGGAGTTTGTAAATGAAAACACCTGCTCATATAAATAAAAATGTAAAAACTTAATAAGAGATCAATACAATCAAGAAACACAGATGCGTATATGAATATCGTTTGTGTAGACAAATGATATTTATATACATCAATTATTTCAATATCGTTCAGACCGTAGCAATTAATCTAGATCAGAGAGAAACCAACAGGTGTGTACTGCACATAAACGTGAAAGAAAATGTGTCTCACACCGAACTAAGTAACAAAAGACGTAAAAGTCCTTGATCTCATTATCATAAGCGCTTGTTTGATTTTTCAGTGGGTATAAGTGTATTACGGTACGAATGACATGGGTTTTTCGAAAAGACTTGCGAATATAAATGTGTTTGTGTCCGTCTACAGGGCAGAATGCGACAGTTTTTTAGACAAGGGGACAGACTGTTACAGACGGCCGGAGTATGTCTGCAAGATGATATGACTGAGACAGAGCGTAATAGAGGCAAATTTATGCGAGAGGAATGCGAGGGATTATGGAGGAGAAGCAAACGACATCGGCTGGGGATAAAGACGTGCAAAACAAGTGATCTGGATTAGAAGACCAGGTTGGGAGATTAGAGGAGAATGGAAAAAGATGGAACTAATACGAGGATGGACAGAGACAAGAGCCTCGAGCTTAACGCCCCACGCGCTCAGGCTGCCCCTTCAGCCAATCAGCAGATTCCCACCCCCACCCCCCACCCCTCATGGCAAACGGCAGCCCGAAGGCGTGCCAAAATGGCCAGAAGGGAGCAGTCCCACGTCTGCGTCATACAGAAATGAACCGGAAACATGCAAGTGATTGACAGGCGCAAACGTCCAATCGGGAAGGAGATGGGAGGTGGGCAGAAGGAGCAACGTCCAAGCAACGTCCACGCGGCTCAGCGTGATATTCCTCAGCTCGTATGCAATTGGCTGGAGGCGTCGCAGTGCCATAACTGTAACCATGACGACCGCTCCCAAGGGATTGGGCTTAACCCTGGCAGCCCTGACAATGCTCTGCTAGAACAAATAGGAAACACGGGGAATTTAAGCGGTTAAAACAGTTCAAGTATCAATTACATATCTAATCAATGTACGTATGCATGTATGAATATGAATCAGCCTCTTAATCTCTTGCACAATTTTGTCCCGCAAATGTCTCGTAGGATATGAAACACGGCAAAATGTTTATTTATTTAATAATCGATTATGCTAATAAATTAATTATTTCAACACCAGCCATCAACATTTTTATTGCTATCATGAAGATTTTTAGGGGGAGAGTAGATAGTAGTGACCCCCCCCCCCACCACTTAATAACCCAGATCAGAGATGCAATATCATCCAGGACTCACACACGTGATGGTGGACGGTTAAGTTTAAAGTAACACACAGTTGGTCAGACCCAGGGCTGGTGTTACAGAGGCCTGGATCCTGGCTCTCAGGGGTAACACACACCTGCAACCACAGAAACCAACACCTACGCCCCTTTCCAGCAAGCCATGCATCTATATCACAGTCCCGAAAGCTCAGCTCTGCAGCAAAGGGGCTGCTGACATCATCATTCCGCGACAAGGGACACGAGGGCGCAAGCTACTATAGGACACATAATGAGGGTGGGTGGGGCTAGATCTTCAAGTCAGTCGCAGATGAGGGTGTCCCCCCCCTTCCTCAGGTTGCCAGGTAGGAGGGAACGATGAGCACAGAAAACTATACACACCTACGGTCGAGCAATCGACATGTTCAACATGGAGCAACGTGCATAGGAGGCTCAAGTGTGGTGTTCCGGTGCAGTCAGGGTGTGCAGAGGCTTCAGACAAGCAAAATCATTCAGTTCCTGTGGGACTATTCAGACTGTAAATATATATAATCTTTCCGAGCCAGACATGCAGTATACACATTTCAAAAAGGCTGAAGCAGGTGATCAGATACACGGAGGCACCCCAACGGATCCTCAACAAGTAGCAGAACACCCACAATCCTAGTTTCTGCTATTCTTTTGCCAGGTGGGGGGGCGGGGTCTCATTTTGCAGAAATCGTAATCGTAACAGAATGTTCCTAATTAAATTGAGTGACGTATAAGGACTTGACTTTAGGGGGCGATGTTGTAATGGGGGGAGGATAGAAACAGCATAGAGTTGGGGCTTTACCTTCATGCCACTGCAACAACGCCTGCATTTAGACACATTCGCAGCGGCAGATCAGGTGACTGGGGGGAAAAAATCATCCCCAAATTTCCATTTTTTTCGTGGGCGCTAGTGGGCGCTATTGCTGATACCTGGTTCTGCGTGTACAGTGTTCAGGTGTCTGCATGTGCGGGGGGGGGGGGGGGGGGGGTTATCTCAATGTGCACCCGGTTAGACTCTGGTGTTGATTCTGAGCTTGAACGCCACCCGTCCGGCGAACTTGTCCCTTTCGCTCGGGGGCGCAATGTTGTTGGCGTTTATCTTGCACTCGACGTTGATGTCGGCGTCGTAGGAGACGTTGACGAACTTGACAGCAACCAGGGGCTGGGAGTAGTTTACCTGGGGTGTGGGGAGAGAGAACATTTCTATTTTCCAGTCACGGACATGATGTCACCCTACCCTGTTGCCATTAGTGCCGGTGGTTGCCCCCCCCCCCCCCCCCCCGAGATTGGGAGCTCCCCTATTGGTCACAAACAGTCACTGCACTAAATATTACATATTACATAAATCTGTTGCTTGTTTAGGAGATACTGAAGCAGCATGTTCTGCTAACCAGCTAGCTAGCTACGGTCTTCTGACTATACATGCTAGTTATTTATCTTATTTTTTAAACATTTAGGGAGGGGGGCAGGTGGCCCAGAGAAAACAAACCCCTGGAACTAGTACAGCTTAGCTCAGATGTGGCTGCCAACCGGGGCCGGAGCCCCAGGGGCCAATCCGGTGCCTAGCGCAGGATGATCAGTACAGATGCCCCTGTTTACGGCAGCAGCACACAGTGCCGCCCATTCATCAATCGCCATGGCAATGATGACATCATGGCAACTATTCGATTAGCTTGTTTCTCCCAGGACCCAAGTACGTAAATTAGGTACAATAAAAATAAAAAACAGCTACATACTCCTTATTAACTTTAAATTACATGTCATGAAACATTAAAGCAGATCAGGGATTACATTCACTGTGACGCTGAACACGTCAGTGCAATGTTTGGACTGTCAAAAGCCTGGCAGCCATAACAGATCAACCCCCTCTCCATTACAACATCAGTCTGCCTCTCGGGATCTGTAACATTAAAACACAGGACTGCAGCTAATGGCTCGCAGTTGACATTGACACCGGCTGGTTGTGGGTTCGAGTCCCCAGGGCTCACCTGGGCCTTCTTGCCGTAATACGGGTAGTACATCAGGTTGAAGGTCCCATTGGGGGGGTAGTACGCCAACTCCCTGATCTTGTCACCATCTTCTTTCTGGGGGCGGGGAGGCAGTAGGTGTTAGGGCCATGTGTTGTTTTTCTTTTTCTTTTTTTCTGGGGGGGGGGGGGGGGTTCAACTTATATTTGTAACCCTAAATCAATCACGCATAGTCCTAACTCCCATCCTAAACTACGATTAGGCCAATAGTTAAATCCCCATATCAGATCCCCACTTTCTGCCTGTAATGAATGTGCAACAAAGGTGCTTAACCAGGTGATGCCTCATCCAGTATGCAAATAAAACCAACATGCAGCCGATACTACAGAACCGCTGCTGACCTCAATCGCATGGCGATTAAACAGCCTTTTAATTTAGAATGTGCTGAATCCGGGCCTAGCAGGAATTAATTACCCTTTAGGTTACACTGAGCAGGTAATCTGAATTTCATTAAAATTCCAAGCTCTGCAAGCGGACTGAACACCACTTCCCACATTACTACGTAATTCAGCTAATCGTTAATCGGCAGAATACTCTTTATACTGTTTGTCTTAGACTGAGATCAAGTCCTGAAGCACGCGATCTCCGCACGCCATCTCCATTCAGGCCGATACGCTTTCAGATTCAAACATGGATTCCGCGCTGCCGTGACATTTGTACATGACCGCACTTGGAACAGAAATGTGAAAATTAAATAAACACACTGAAGTGCTTCAGTGGTGTTAAGGAGGGAGCCGCGCTCAGGTTGCTGCACACAAAGGCTTCCAGCTGAACAAACAGGCGGACAAAAGATGTACACAGATGCTCGGGATGGTTAGTGAGCCACAGTGAGACCACTACCGGGGTAGGACAGCAGGGGGAGCCACGGTTAAAGATTCCAACCGGAACCTGCAGGTGTCTGCAGCCTCTGGCTGAATGGTAACATATCTAACATGAAGGACTTCGGTTAAAATTGTTGGCTGAAGTGTATGAAAGGCATTCAGGGTGGGGGGCTCACCTTAGCAGCACAGGTTACATACGGAGATTGCCCGTGGATCCCTGGCAGCATGCCAATAACCTGGGGAGGGGGCGAGGGGGTGCCGCTTAGTAACAATTCACAACGTCAGTTATCGCATCATAACTGCCCATTTCGCTGTCAACCTCCTGCACTGACTGACCGAATACTTCCCAGTTTAATTTCCACTGGCATCCTACGGAACTTCAACCTTCATTACAACATTCTTCAGCTGACCGTTGTGTTAGTTTTCACTGCAGCAAACTCTCTGCTACCTCAATGCATTTTTCCCTCTTTCCTTTCTCAGTCCAGTCCTTGGGGACCCTCAGTCTGTCCACATTTTTGCTCCCTCCCAGCTCCCAACACACCTGTTCCAGGTATTCGGTGTTCCTGATTGGCTGCGAGCTGGGAGGGAGCAAAAACATGGACCGTCTGGGGGGTCCCTGGAAACTGCGCTAAGAAACATTGCCTTAAACCATTTAGCTGTCAGAAACTACACAACTTGTGCCTAAAACATTCAAAGATACCATAAAAGACTGTTTTCTGACGTGCTTCAATTAAACCATGTTGAGAAGATTGACAAAGATAGAACTGTTAGGAAAGCTGATACAGGTTTCCCCAGATCATTTACCTTCCTGAAACTCCCCCACCCCCTTCCATTAACTTACACGGTTCATTTTGATGAGGATGCAGGGCTTGCCAGTGTTGTAGCCATAGTAACGGTCCTTCACCCCGGAACACTCCTCCAGCAGAGTGCGGTTGAACTGGCAGGAGCGTTTGGGGTTGTTGCGCACGTCTCCACTGTCCTCTTGGATATAATAGCGGTCGGGGGGGCATTCGTCATTGGTCAGCGCCTGGTAGGAGTCGTTGTAGGCTGGGTGGTGGGGGGGGCGAGGAGAGATGAGGTCACGTCACTCGTCCACAGGAGCCTGTCAGTTGACCCCTAACCTGACAGGAAATACTGCTATGCAAGTGTGGGGAGCTGTACTCACGGGAGAGGAACTTGTCCAGGGCCTGAACATACATGTCCCAGCTCTCAGTGTGGTCCATGGTGTAGACAATCTCCAGTGCCTCTCCCTTGGGCCGAATCATCATGCCTGGTGCCAAAGAGGATACAGATCTTTCATTTCTCTGCGTGGGTGTGTACGACTCTTTCCATCTTTGTGGAGACATGTTAAATACACGTGTCTCAAAATATTATTCATTTTAGCCTCCGTCAAGTTGATGTTATGTCTCTAGGGATATATAGTTACCTCCAAATTTTCTTTTTTACAACTTAGACTTCTAAAGTACTTTTTTTGAAGCAGAAAATGGATTTGCGCGTGTGCGTGTTTTACCCGGCGTGGCCAGCCTGTCCTGGTACGTGGGCTTGTAGTCATCCAGCGTCTGCATCATCACGTACATGGTGAGTACAAAGAGCCCCGCCAGGAAGACGTAGAAACCCAGGTAGAAGAGAATAATGAGACCTGGCGTGGTGGAGACGGCCAGGGTCAGTCACTACTCCGTAATCTCCAACGCAGCGCTGCCAGGTTATGGCGGTCAAGGAATCGGGCTTAAAGTACAAAACAAGGTGTTTATAATCGAACGGTTTCTGTAAATGCATGATGGGATAAAATTATCAACGGCGTAAATGGCATCTGGGATCCACTGGTAGGCAAAATCAACCGGAAGGACCTATCTGTAGGGTTCCCGAACCCACAACGAAATTTATTTCTGGGTTGTGGGCCATAATGGAACGCCTGCGGATACCAGCAGCACACAAAAAACGTTCATGCCGACACCACAAAACACTTAATTTGGAGCCAGGGTGTAAGTTCGCGGTTTTTCTGATGAAAGTTAGTTACAAACACCGCTGACTCAACCGTTTGCTTGAGGATTTTAATTGTTTGGTGAATTATTACTGTACAAAATTAAACGCACTGCAGGAAGAGACCTGTAACTAATCCGGTATTATATGTATTAAAGATTATAAACAATAAAACGTGTATCCCTTACAATCGAAGCAATACGATCACGGGTTACAGTATAAGGAGGTCTTTAATCAAATAATGACGGGAAAAGCTTTCGGTGATGCCAGCATAAAATACATTTTAAAACCTCACATATAGCCTATAAGTACGATCTCACGTTACTGTTTATGTCGTGGTAATTTTCTGCGTGCTTATTTAACGTTATTAAATACGTTATTAAACGTAATTCTTAACCTGCTTTTGCTGCCAAGGTGTCTATCTGATCCAAGAGACAATATATATTTACAAATTCTCTCGGCAAACAGTAATACGGTACCATGAATATTACACATGTAAGTCCTGGGTTCACATAATGCATTGGTCGTCTTCCAAATAATTAGGCGATGGACGGAACCAGAGACAATAAGTCAAATTGGCAATTTCTGCAAAAATAATCGTACACATAAGGTGGACGTATTTGGACGCTGCATATCCGGAGATGGAGGGGCGGACATGGCGTCAGGGTGCAGCCACTCGTACGGAGGGTATAACAGGTGGCGCACCAGTTGGCGGAGCGAAACTGCATTTGCGGTCCCGCGTGCACCAGAAATGCGACGTCTGGCGTACCAATGGACAAAGCACTTTACTGAAAATTCCCCAAATATCCAAACCTATATTTTCCGATGACGTCAATATTTAAATGACAGCCTCAAAACGCGTCTGCTACGACCCTTAAAATGTCCGAGCGGATGTAAATGTAAATGTGAATTACATATGAAGTGTATTGTTTTCTTTGCCGTGTCCCATAACCCTTCAGTTGTTCTCTCACTGCCACCCTCACGCCACTCGCCATACGTCAAGACAGACGCAGTAAAGCCCTAATCCTCTTTTCTCCTAAAGCCCCAATCTCTCTCGCCTTTCTTTCCATATTCTTTCCATTTTCTTTCATTCGACTCCAGTTCAGATTACAGAATAATATTTTTGAAAGAGTTAATTAAACTGGTATTCATAAACCAGCGATTATGCGTGAGTTTATTCGTGACTCTGTGTAAGTCAGTGGGGGATTAAATCTAAATGGTTCCAGGGTTGACCTACTAATGTTCCTCTGATAGCGAACCCAGTACAATTGTTTTTTTTTTCTGTATCCACGAGGTTAGTGTATTAATTACGTTTCTCTGGAAAAATAATTCAGGCGGAATTAAATTACGGTATATTCAGGTGGTGTGCCTGAAGGAGTATGCATACAACAAAGTGAATACTCTTAAGCACCGCAAATGCGTGCTCAAACGCGATGCACGGACATGTGGTCTGGTAACAGAATGCAAAGACACATGGACTGTTGCCCAAAAAACCTGGTGGGTATTCCACAAAGCAAGATTTCTTCATTAAGCAGGTAACTTCAGCCAAATGTAAGGATTGTCCAATAGGAATATCACTTAACTCTCTTCCTATTGGCCAGTCTTCACATTTGGCTTAAGTTATCCAGCTAACTTGGAAATCCTAAGGGGTGTTCCACAAAGCAAGATTTCTCTGTTATCTGGGTTAATTTAAGATAGAAGTTATGATTGTCCAGTAGGAATGCTCCTTACCTAAACTCGTATTGGACAATCATGATTTCCAGCTTAAGCTTACCCAGATAACTGAGGAATCCTGGTTTGTGGAATAGCCCGACAGATCTGATTCATTTCAAAATTATCAATCCAAAGAGGGGATGGGGTAAGATGTAATAGGGGAAAGGGATTGGCTAAGATTGCGGGGTTTAGTAGGATCGATAGATCACTTGTTAGTTTTCGTGTAACCAACAACATGTAGGTCCTGCAAGGACAATGTGAACTAAGTACCTAAATACCTAAACAGTGTGAACTAAGTACCCAAATTTTAACCTAAAAGTGGGACTGTGTACAACACCGATGAGTCCCTTCCCCAAGTCTTTCTGGCTCTCCATCTCTCTGCCTCCCTGTTACAGCTTCCATTTGCAACTCTCACGTCATTTAAGTGGGATTTGAATATTTAATTCATTCCCTGTCTTGCACTGCTAAACCCAGTGAGCTAGATCCATCATGGGTTACAGAATATCTCATTTTAGTGGAACATGTCCAAAAATAGGTGCAAAGTAGCACTTCATTTAGGGTCAGAGTTGTGAAAATTCAGGAGGTGATTCATTCTCAGGCATCATACCTGCAGTGCATAACGTATATCTAGAACCTGCTATGTTTACAAATAATACTGCGATCACAAAGCATACAACACATTAGTACAAGTATTGGATTAATGCAATAAGTACTCGCCAGTGCTTCAATCGAAGTCAGGAAAAAGATCCGATATAATCTTCGGAAGCATGGAACAGGACAGCATGAACCTGTCATCGCACTTTTAAAATAGGATGAATGATTTGTATGCCTGACAAATTAAAATTTAATCAAAATCACACTAACAATAGCTGTGAGAATGTCATGGACACAAATATTTGTCGAAAAGAAAGACAATTCAGAATTTACACGTACAGAATGTGAGACAGGTGAGAAATTGCTGCCAGACTGCAACCCTTGTCCCAGTCTGATCTAACCATTGATGACCTGCAGTCTCCATGACACCAGAAGATAACCTGGATATGAAAATGTCCCACTCCAACAAATATAACGGCTTCCGTACCGCAAAAGCTACAAGCGATATCAAAATGCTCCAGTTTTTCCAGACAGGATTCAATCACACCTTTATTAAGAATAACGAATCCCCTGATTCTGCGAGTCAGTTACTCATAGATCAAAGGGGCTCATTGATGAGCTATGATGTAGTTGGATGTGAAAGGTCACCAGGTAATGGAGAATATCATACAAGCAGTTTATAAATATGCCTGTACGGGAGCGTTATATGTGATGTAATTACAATATACTAGACTAAACCCAAGATTGGCCCCAACCATGACCAAACCGATTGTTACAAATTTTTTGGGCCTCTTGTCACTCAGGGACCATTGAAGTCGCCCTAACTCCTCCCCCCTTTCTGGTGCCCCCGGGTAATAGAAGTATAGTGATGAGATCAATCATGGTCATTATGTGATAATCACGTCGAAAAATGCCCCGAGCTGGAATCGCATTCTTTAAACAAGACACAGCTTAACAAGATTGTTGGGCTGTGGGGACGGACGTGTCACACTCCATTGTGCTCAGGGATTGGCTGCCACGGCTGTCAATATCCAATCGATAAACATGCCCCTCCCCCTCTCCTTACATCCGAAACTGAGCCTTAACTCCTGTCACCAAGTTGTTGGCTAATCACTAATTCTATAAAAAGCTAAATCAATTGGAAAATCTGCCTTTTTTGGTCCAGTGTCTCTGAGGGTCCCTCCCACTAAGGTGACACTGGAGAACGCAGCACGACCAAGGTTACTTTATCCCCAAGAAGGGTTCTGGACGCTCGTTAAAACGGGAACATTAGCGAAGCTTTGCGGCATCAAAAGCTCATGGAACGCACGGAAATCGGGCTTCCCGTTTCAGAAATAGCCTAATTAACGAGCTTTAATGAGCCAGGCTTATCCAGGACAGCGGTCCTCCGAGCAGGGAGTGAGCAAACTTACTCCAGAGCAATCAACAGTCTTTCCAATTCCCCTTCCAAGCTTGTCCTCCTTTCCACTGACTCGGTTTTACTGTGACGAATATCAGAAGTGTCCCTTCTGACGGATTTGTTTATGCAGCTTTGCTTATTTAACTAAATATCCTATAGTCTTGTGTTCAAATAGATCGTTACCGGTGTTTTTTTTTCTATAATCCTATCCGTGTCTGTTACGTCCTGTCAATATCCTTTCTGTCAGCAAGAAGTTGACCACAGACTGCTTGATACGGGGAACACATGAGAATGCGAATCAGCATGTGGTTGTAAGTCGGTTAGAAGTGATCTGAAAATAGAGACACTGATACAATTATCTCTGTGCTCCTCACGTTACGCGCGTGGAAACGCTGTGCTAGATGTCCAGAGTTCGCACGCACGCGCAGCCGCACGCGCTGACGGGGACGGGTCCTTTCAATACCCCCTTCAAACGGGGGGCACATTTGCACCGCTACCCCTTGATCGCGCCGGGTCCTCCTCTCTAATGCACTTCCTCATCCAATTATCCCACCATCCATACATAATTCATCAAAATTACGAATTAACCTCGCGTTATATTGACGAAAACGATTCTGTTACACTTTTCACTGTTACTCATCCACAAACGTATGCATATCATTTAAAAGCAGCTATTCCTGTCACATGTAGCAGATAAATGAGCTCCTACCCACACGCGACTGCACTCTGCTCATTTGTCTTAAGGCGATTTCGCGCGCTATTAATGGTGACCACATTCACGAAACGGAATTCCTTAATTCGGATGTTACGAGTGTCATAAATCAAGGCTCTTTCAGTATAATGATATTTTCAGGTTGTCTGGTTGATTTAATGTCGCCAACAGCCAGGGAAATATGGTAAGATTTAGTGTTATATTGAGAGCTGGCTGCTTGAAGAGGGACCCCCCCCCAACTCTGGGATCCTTAGATGCGGATTAAAACCGAATTACACTTACGAACCGGGAGCAGAGGTTGTGGCTACACAAGTAAAATTCCCCTGTCGGATTAAATCGGATTAAGCGCGCCAATGTCATTATAATTGTCGCGTTGCTATAAAAGGCACACATTGATTCAATAATTAAATTCAACAAAGCGGGATATACAGGCCGTACGGGACCAGAAGCGCTGTTGCTTGCTTTCGATGTCATACAGGATGCACATTACTGATGATAACACTGGGTAAAAGCTTCAACTAGCGAAAACGTGATTTTTGCTACGTTCTTCCTCAATTGTCATCCACGTGGTGTATGGAGTAAATTGAAGTCTTAGAGCTGATAGATAAGAAGCAAATAGTGATAACATTTCCGTATTTTATATTTCAAATGGCGTCCAAATGAAAATGGACCCCCGAGGATATACTTCTGGAGAAATCCTCACAAATGTCCCCATTCACTGGTATCATTTAAGATTGTGCGCGTGGTGACCATCGGGGTTTTTTTTCTGATTTATGCATAAAGATTTGCACGGATTTAAAATCAGACCTGTGTGGCTGCTTTTCTTGCAGGTATATTTTTCTTCAACAGGAGGATAACGGCACAATTTACCGGCGGAATTTTAATCCCCAGTAAATCACGTGCTGACCGCCGGCTGTATTTTGGATTCAGCCCAGGAATGTAGCTAGTTTATGATAGTGTACATTTAAAATAAGCTTACTAAACTCTCCGTAAAAGAAGACGCATTGCGCACAGAGATCCCCTAAATAATTTAATAACAGGAGTGCGCCGGCAGCATTTGCCGGCTGTTGCCCGTTCCCCAGTGGAGGTCTTCGATCAGTACTGGACTGCAAACACAGCTATCCGGAGTTGCACCGCACTGACTCTGGACAGCGCGATCCGTACGCTACGCATCCATAGATCTAAATATTACAATCGATTGCGCCACTTAACAAACAAAAAAAACTAACTTCAGTTTTTATTTTTGAAATTAAGTAAGTCACACCTGCTGTACAAACGTCATATGCCCTCACATTTCATTGCAACCAAAGTGCACCATAAGCGCTCCCTGACGCGTAATGCTGTCGGTGATCACGACGCATGAGGGGGGTCCCCGGGTCCCCCGACTCACCCCAACTGCTCGCCGTCCGGCCCAGAAACTCGTGCGTCCGAGGGTTCCAAAAGAAGTCCAGGACGGCGCCGCACGTCTTCTTTTCCCCATCCTTTGCCATCTCTGTCTACGAGGAGACACGTTCAGTGCAAACCACGGCGTGCGTAATCCGAGCAGCTTTAATTAAACCCTAGTACCAAAGAGACACGTTTGTCTGGCCTGTGCGATCTAGTGCACTAAAAGGCTGAGTAGCGGTACTTTCTCCAGGACACAAAGATGCTTTAAAACACCGGGCAACTGATACAATTATGTACAGACTGAAATTGCAGTAAAATAGTCTCCGGCTTTTAAACCCAGCCTTTGTTCGCCCCCGCCCCCGCTCTCTCTCTCTTTCTGTCTGTCTCTCTCTCCCTCTCTTTCCTCTCTCTCTCTCTCTCTCTCTCTCTCTCTCACACACACACACACACACACACACACCAATCCGACAGAAGCCAGGAAATCCCCCCCCCCGCGCGCTTTCCATTTTCCAACCAATAAATAAATGTATGAACCTCAACTCCACGTGTTATTTCGCCGCATCGTTCGACGACAGGATCCCCGCAAATAAGACGGATTCATCCAAACACGTCGCTTGCCTTCTTGCATATACCAAGCATCGATATTTTCTTTTCTCGTTTCGCTATTGATTAACAGCA